ATGTATATTACACATAATTAATTAATTAGTGTTACAGAGTTAAACTACGTTAAATAGCAGGTAGTAAATATAAGTAGATAGTTTATAATAATTAAGACGCACAGCAACATAACATTACTATAATTAAAATAGCCCTAGCTTCTTTAATTTTTAACTATAGTCTTACTCTAATGTAATTAAGCTTTTATATAACTTTATTTACTACTACTATGTCTCTAAATTGTTTAAGTAAAATATAAGTATTTTTATAAACCTTTTAAAACTATTAAACTAATAAGCATTATTATTATTAAAGAACTTTTAGAAATAGTAAGCGTGTAAAACTGCAACAGTATGCTAGTAACTAGGTAATCTATAGCTAGAAATTTGTCTTAATACATGCAATATGTAGATAGGCTGTAGGTTAGACAAGGGTGTACAAGCTAATACAAGGGGACTAGAGAGCAGTTATGTACCTAACACTACACAGTTGTTAAAACTAGTAAGCAACTAACAGCGCACAGCGTCTAATTAGCTGCACTAAGTAAACAGTGCTTTATAACACTATTATACATCACAGAAGTGCTTACTATAAGTATATATAAAATAAAAATATATAATTACTTTATTTATTTTTAAAGGCTTTATTAAGACTTTTATTAAAATTACTATTAATTAAATTATTAACTAAACTCTTAGAGTTACTATAAGTTGTGCCCTTAACTATTTCTATAAATTCTATTACATTAATATAACACAACTTCTCTACGCTAATGCTTGCTAGATTAGTTACATCTAGTGCTAGTATATAATTACTAGATATAATATTACTAATGTTAAAGTCTATAACTTTTAATATTAACAACTTAATACTACTAGCAATAATATTAGGGCTTATAATAGGCTAGAGGAGCCCTTAGTTAATCTAACTAGTTAAGCGCTTATAGTGCCTATAACTTAGTAGATAAATAGTAAGGGCAAATGTCTCTAGCTTAACATTACACTGCGTATGCTTATTCTTACTCTTCTCTCTAAAGGCGCCCTTTATTAGCGCACAGAGTTGCATATAGAACTAGTAAAACAGTGCAAGATAACTAAAAGTAAAGTTTATGTTATAAGTTTTATTTTTAAAGTGCTGCATGTTAAGCTTATACACGTAGTTTATAAGCTTAAGCATAATATTAACTACTTAAAAGGTGTCTAGCTTCTTATGTATATTAACTAACCTAAAGGCAAGTATAGACTGCTAAAGTGTTAAAGTTAACACCCTATCTAAGACTAACTAGTAGAGGTGTAGTAGCTTAGTACTATAGCGCTCCTAACTAAATCTAAAGAAGAATACAGCTAATAGATTAATTAAGTAATAAATAATTCTAATATTACTAAACTTAACTATATGCTATAAAGTAAAAAATATTTTAATCTTTTAAAGAAACTAACATGTTATTATCTAGTTACCTTTAAAATTATTACAGCCCTTTTACATAGTAAGTGTAAAGACCTTTTTATGTATCTACTTAAGCAACTTAATGTACTAGTTAGGCAAGAGCTAACTAATAGCCTTATTATAGAAACCCTACTAGTATTACTAGACATCTGCTGCATAGATATCTAGCACCTAGCTTTAGAGATATCTACTGTTACTTATCTTTTAGTAGAACAACACAACTATTTAGGCGCCCTAGCTTAGATGTATTAGCAGCACAGCTATATAATACTTAACATTGCTCTAATTAATACTAGCACAGTTTAAGCGCATAATATTATGTAAAAGATTGCTAGAAAAGTCTGTACCTTTAAGCGTATTAAAGTGCGTATAAATAATTATGTAAGTAAGTGCCTAAAGAATATAAAAATACATAAGCAGTCTAATTATCTAATCCCTTCTATTATATAGCTAAGACGCGCCGCGCTGCTCTTTTTTAAGACTGTGTATAAACTTAGCAGTTTTCTAGTTGCTTTATACTATTTATAGCTGCGTTTTAAAGCTTAGCTCTTTTAGATTTATAGAAATATTTAACTGCTAAAGCTAAATATTATTATGTACTTTATAAGTCTTATTAATAACACCCTTATTAAAGAATATTACTTTTAGATAATTTACCTAGCTAGGTTTTTTACACAGTAGGACTTTAACAGCTAGCATTAACAGCAACTAGTCCTCTAAGCTAACAAAGACCCCTAATACAGCAGCACTGTAGATAGCAGCTATAGCGTGTAACATATAGCACAATGTAATTTGCTTGCTTATATAGTCCTAAATTATGCTAGGCGCTATACAGATCTAATTAGGCTGCAATGCTATGCTAGAATTAAACATAGACTAGGTTAAACTGTCCTTAAGAATCTATAAACATCTTATAATAAGCGCTGTTATTAGGTTCTGCTAGATAGCTATTGCAACACCTACAGCGTAGTTGCAAGTCTAGTTAGTAAAGTTATAATTATTATATATAATTATTAACTAAGGATTATGCGCAAGACCTAGTAGCCTAGAATTAGGTAAGACATAAGCTATATAACATAATATTATAACCTATAAGCTTTTTATATAGTCTGCTATTTTATTAACCTTCTAGTTTATAATTTTATATAAGTTATAAACACCTAAGCCTAATAACGTCTCTACAACGCGCTGTTTTATACCACTACTATGTAAATATAGACCTAGTAGGTAGGCAAGGTAGTTGCATCTCTTCTAGGCCTAGCAACATAAGATAATAGAAGTAATTAGATACACTTTACTATTTTATAAACTTTTAGCCTTACTATAACTACTTTAAGCACTTTACTTATTTTATAAAAGTTTCTTAATAAACCTGCTCTAATTTAGAGCTTAATTAGCTATAATTAACTTTAACTTAGTAAAATTAACCTTATCTAGCCTAAAGGCTGTATTATACTAGTTAAAGAACTTTTGCCTAATAAAACTATTAAGTTCTTTTATAAATATAATAAAACTAGGGACACTAGTAGCCTTATTATCTCTACTTAATGCTACATAAATGTTTAGCTGTTTTAGTGCTAATTAAAGAATTATTTTATGTCTACTAGGTAGTAGGGCCCTTAATAATAGTAGGTCTTATAAATATAACTTAATAAATTTACTTATTAGCATCTACAGCTTATCTATTAATGCTAGAACCTACTCTAGTTTCCTTAATCTTAAGGTGTAAATAAGTGCAGATAACTAGACACGCTAAGTAGATGCGCCTACTACTTATAAAGTTATAAAAAAATAAGTTATTAGAACTAAGGCCTAAAGCTTAGTAGTAACTATAAATAAAGGTAAGAAGGACATAAAAAAAGGTAATAATAAAGGTAATAATAAAAAAGGTAGCAGCTTATCTACTAGAGGAAGATAAAAAAGTTATAGACGCTAGCACAGACGCAGAGTAAGACTAGTAGACTTATTAGCTATTTTATACAGTAAACAACGTGCAAAACGTGTAACAATTTAATAGATAATAGCAAGAAGTTATATAGCTATTAGCCTAAAGTTTAGAGATGTTTAAAGAGAAAAAAAAATGTGTAAATATTAATATAATATATTCTTATATAAAAAGTAAGCACTAAAATTAGTTGTCTATATAATTAATTACTAAAGTCCCTTAGACAGCTAGGGAGAGAAGCTAAATCTAGCATCCTTATTGGCTAGAAAGATAGCGTGAGCGCCACCGGCGCGACTAGCATGGGTTTATGTTGACTAGCAAGGGTATCAGGGGCTCTGCCCCTGTCGGAGCTTCGCCCCTTCTCTCCCCAATCGGCTGAGCTAGCTGAGATAAGCTTCTGCCTGAAGTTTGAGCCACACAATAAACGCTATTCCTATTCGAGGTATTGCCAAGAGCACTTCTAGAACTCCTAGGCCCCTGAGGTGCACATGAAAACCTCACCTAGCCTTACTTGTAAGCCTAATGTCCCTATGACGGGCTGTCTGATCAATTCAAGGTTTGGCATCCCACAGTTCTATATATATTATACACCCCAGACCCTCGGTCGAGAAGAGACCACTTCTCTCATAAGTTATGCCCATTGAAAGGCGACATTACATCCTCTCTGTATCCGTTGCTGTTCCCGTTCCTTCGTTAGCTTGTAGTGATTTCAACTCAACCTCTCGATATTCTTGTTACCGTTCTCTTCTTCTGCCGCTCCGACGTCTACCATAATCAGTCGCGATAGTCTCACTTCCGCCTCATTGATACGTCCCAACCGGAATTCACACTTTCAGCCGAACCTCAAAATGATTTCTCGGGTGCTGAAAGACCCTTCATAGAGCCATGGTGGAGCTGCGAAAGCTATGATCCATCCCATGCTCTTCAAACCGGATTCCTTTTCCTAACTCGGGAAATAATATTTCGAAGAATTAGAGAGACGCCAAAGAGAAGAACTCGATATATTATCTAGCAAATCTCTTTGGTCAGATAAGGGGCAAGACTTGGTCGGAAGAACGTGATAACTGCAACACAGATTGCAATGACAGACTTGAAGGACTTCTAGATTCCGAGAGAGTTTATCATGGCTGCCCGCATCAGGTCCTAGAAATAATCGAGGACCTGTTAATAGGAAGCCTTGGCCAATGGTATCCTCAAAACCCCTCAGAATCTCAAGTTCTACTGCACCTTCTCATATAACCGTTAATATGGCTAGGCTAGCGTCGATCTGTAAACCTCCTGCTGAAATCAGGGAGAACATCAACTTGAATTGCTCTCCTACTAGGTTTCACAGATCTATTCCGTAGCCGGTGTTGAAGAGATTGTTTCGCGAAGTCTTGTATACACTAATTACAGATTACCAAGCGGCGTAGAAGCTGATACTCTAGCCGGTCGAAAACATATGCAAGGCAAACGTTGGTTCGTGGTAGCCCGCACGAAATATTATAATTCATCCGACGAGCGAAGTTATGTGCTCTGATTAACACCCAGCTCAACCATCTATCGCTACCGCCGGATGGTAGCTGCCTGCTTCAAACAGGAAAAGCAGAATTCACCCCGCTGTGAATAGTACTCTTATTAGACATCAGGTTAGGCTGCTTCCTCCTCTTGATGAGGCGGGTGTTGTTCAATTGTCTTAAGATTGGTCCACCGCTCTTTAGACGCGTCCAATATGTGTTTCAGGTCTTCTGGAGCTAGCATGGCAACCTTTTCTTGCTCCGCCTCGGCTTCTTCTACAGTACCTGACTTCTTGAGGCTCGGACAAGGTACCAGAGTAACATTCGAAGCGTCATCAAACCCCATACAGCTCACGCCGTCGTGCTCTGTAGACTTATACAAGCCAAATCCGTACGTGGCGAAATCTGATCCATCCTCATTCTGCCTGAGGCGAAGCTGCGCCTCCATGTACCACTGCTGGTTCTTTGGTCCCTTCACTGGAATATCGAAAGCGTTGTCATTGTCATCTCGAAGAAGTTTGCTGGCATATGACCACGAAACAAGATCTGAAATCGAGCTGTAGTATCGGGGCAGATGTCTCTTAACATAGCGCCTTGGTAGCCTCCAGCCGAAAATCTCAAGCGGAATCAGGATGATATACAGAAAAAGCCAAATGATAACGCAAATAGACAAGGGTTTGGAGGCGTAGATTGTGGAACCAGATTCATGTTCGGAGATTACTGTTATTGACCCAGCCATCAGGATGGGAAGGAGTCGTTGGATGATTGCTATTACCGAAGTCCATGCCACCCTTATGTGTCCATTCTTGATAGCCATGTAAGTTACAGCAAATGGAGGAAGGCAGATATAATCCAGGAGAAGATTTTCAGAAGCCTGCCTTGGTTTGTACATGCCTCTAAAAGGCTGTGTCGTGCGGGTGAACAGGTCTACGTCTTGCCAGAACCACGTGTGGAAACTGACGATAAACGTAGGAATAAACTGGAAAATTATAATGGCCCAGTTGTAGGAGATAGAGGTGTCAATGCCATCCACCATGTCTAATGCTAGCCCAGTGATGAAAGCGGCCATGAGAGTGAGGGTAATGGTTACCCAAATGTATGCCATGAAATGTTCCATGTTAAGGGCAACGGAGCGATATCGTGTAGCAACTATATCCTTCATTGAGACTTCGATTTGTGTTAGTATATATTTATCCTCCTACGAAACCTTAGTATACGAACAATTTTTGATTTTGTGCTTTTGGCATGCGTGTTCGGGGGATTGTTGAGGGTTAGTTGGTGGATGCTCATCCTGGTTCGACGTTCTCTGCTCCGGTAGTGCGTCGTTATTCTTGGGCTCTGCTACTAAGTAGATAAGTGGAATGCAAGCTGCTACTTAACCACACGTACTTTGCACGACCTTAGGTAGCTTTCCGAAACCATGCCATATATCCTCTCCCCGAAACCAATATCCAAGTTTGAGGCGGTCGTCCCGCAGGCGCATCCATATCGATTCTCTCTCCGCAGTATCCGTGCCTTCTAAGTCATCGAGAAAGTTGCTATGGCGGAATAATACTAAGTGATCTGCAATAGAAATAGTGTCCCAACGGAGGCCAGTGATTTGATTGTAGAGTTTGTATATGAGGCTGACGTTCAGTAAGATCATGAGCCCGTAGATTGCGATGAGAGAATACAATGCCCATGATGTAACAACAGCAACTACGTATGTGTCGTAATCGGCCGTATTTAGTAGGGATGACTTGAACGATAGAATAGTAGAAGAAAGAATCTCCAATATCCAGATAAAAGCAAGAAGTCCATTACCGGTGGTAATGGCATTTCCAAGGCTAAGGCCAGGGAAATAGGACCCTAGAATGGTCTTGCGAAACGTAGAGCCAGACGGTGCTGCGGCCAGCATGAACGGTGTCATGCGGCTAAGATTCACGGAAATACCGTGCCAAAGCGACGCAGTGATTGTGCCGAGAACCGGGGGTAGAATCTGGATAGAGAGGTAGCCCCATTGGCTGCTGAAGCTGAATTCGTTGTAAAAAAGCAAGGCAATGAGGAGTCCAAGAACTATGAGGTTGAAAACGAGTCCACTGCAAAGTGAGGCTGTGCGAAGCATAAGAGGCATGAATTTCAGAGCTGGTAACTTGTTGTGTATAGCATCTTCATTAGAAACTGGGCGTAATGAGTGGATATCGTCTTGATTGTTATCAGTGCAGTGCAAAAGCCCTCGTAGTGGTCGGGCTTACCAGTTAAGTGTAGAGAAGACAATCCGTCAGTCCGCCTGGCGACATTTCTTTCTCTAAGCTCCATATCAGGGTTCGATAAGCTGGCGTTTGCCATGAGATCAATGAGTAGGAGAATTTAGTAGCGGACATCTAGAGAGCTGTGAGCAGGCTACGTTATAAGGACGAAGTCAGGCTAGAGCCTCAAGGTCTCAGCTGGTGTAAACCTTCTCCAGCTTTCGACGCCACCTTCATTGTGGCGCTTGCCTCCGCCCAGTCAGAGGCCTCATATAACGAATGTTGTGGAGTTAGGTTTTCTTTTGATGACTTGTAATGAGTCCTTCCCTGCACATGATCAATTCAAATAAATGATCCAATCGTCCAATGCCGCTTAAGAATAATGAGGGGGTCAGGGAAGGCAAATGTTTGCAGTTACAGAGCTCTCCGAGCTCCACACATGCTCGTATTCAGGAGCTGCGGTTACCTGCTTAGTCAATGTTGCCCATCCTACTCCTTAGCTTACTCCTTGCATATATAGGCCGTTAAGAAGCCTCTTTTAGCAATCCATCTAGTTCTTCATGCCTCTAGTGCCCCCAATAGCTTCACGGCAAACAATATAAATTCTTGTCATCTCACCAGTATATGTAAATATGGAGAAAAAAGGGTTGCATCGCGAGGAAGATAATGGAAAAGGATCTAGTATTCTAATACAACAATATGATCTTGATTTTTAGCCGTATCAATTGTCTTCGAAGCTTGCCCCAACCATTTTCATTGCTATGTTCCAATCAACTTACCGATCATCCTAGCACAAGCACGGCAGATGCAGCGTCTGATAATTACTGCAACTCTTTCCGCTAGGAGTATCACTTCCCGTCTGCAAAAAGACGTCGTAATAACCACTATCCGTGGACTTGCATGCGAGAAAGTTCAGTTCTTCAAAAATCACTCAGTGAGCTTCTCATATCCGAGGCGAGCATGGATTCTTCGGAGAAACGAAGCTCTTAGAGGTACTCACGTCTCCCATAATTACTCCCCGTAACCGTAATAATCGTATCGCCCTCTAGTCCCCACGCCGTCGTATTACTTGTTACCGACAATGCTAGAGGCTTATAGCTAGTGGTCGCGGGCAGAATGTTTAGATATAAAGATGAGTTCTTGGACTGGATTGTTGAGCCGATGGTGAAATCTTCCGCGCTGCTCTCAGGGCCAAGGACGGGGATAGATTCTAGACGACGTTAGCAGTGAGAGAGAAGAAAAGGAAAAAAAATACGTTGAGAGGGAACGGAATACGGAAGAGAATTACTGTTTTTTGCATTTGACTGTAAATAAAAATGGAACACTGGGCTCTGCACGGCACGAATCTTTCCTACAGTAACCGCAGCCACTGTCTCCACCGGAATTGCCAAAGTCCCCTGAAGCATTAAGAAGAATGGCGCAAAAAAGGCTAAAGACAACATTCTTCCGGCCTTTGAAGTGTCGAAAATCGGAGGTAGTAAAATCCAGACACAACAGATCCGTGAACAGAAAGCGTTCCTGGGTCGTCCTTTATACGATCCGCAGAGAACGCCATTCTTCCTAGTCGACAATTTACCATATACCCAGATTTTCCCATGGGGTCGTGTCATGCGTGTTTAATTGTTCCATCGCTATATGCTCATATCGAAGACCCCTGTCACCCCAGTTTCAAATGTCTTGGGCAGATTGGTGGATGAAACAGGAATAGCTGACTCGAAACAGAAACATAAAATAAAGCTTTCAGACTTGTTCAAAGAGATAAGCCTCCCAGAATCGAGTATTTGAAGGAGGTTGAGGTGGGAGAGCATTCATGAGGTAGGGATGATTTTGCGGGGAAATGCGGGAATGGTGGTACCGGGCCGAGAACCGGGAGAATGAGCCGTGCCAAAACCGGCGTAGCCTTAGATGGGGTAAACCCCACAAACACGCTGAAGAAAGCGAGGCAAACGGGAATGTCTGTTGTGAATGCTTAAGGAATTTGAGAACTACCTAATTGGACGTGATCTATGCCTTCGTACAAACTATGCTCCAAAGCCTCACCATTAACTCCGTGCTAAAGCCTCGATTGAGGTATAAAATACGTATATCCAGCTCATTCCGCGCCTTTTCATTGCGTCTATTATGCACCATAGTGTTGAGAAGAAGTTGTAACCGGCATGTAGCCTCCAGGAGCATACCCAGTGGTTACTGGAGGACTGTGTAATGGCGGGCTCATCAAAGGGGTCATTGCATAGCCTTGATCCCCATGATAGGCCGTGTTGGACGTTAGGGGAGAAGATTCGGATGGGTGCGAACTCAGCGCAGCTGACTTGCGGTCTGAGGCGTAACTGTCATGGTTGGAATCGTGGATTTCCTCGATATAACCATGGCCCTTGTCATGGCCACCGTGATGGTGCTCGTCGTCGACCTCCTTGGCGTAAGGCTGTCCGCTCTTTTTCAGCTGCCAATTGGCGATTGCACCACTGACTCTGTCGAAAAGGAGAACTAAGAACAGAAGCGAGAGGCAGGTGGGTAGTACGGCTGGGGATGCGATGAAGTTGTAAAGGGCTTTCGTATTGGCGATCAGTGCGATAAGGATACCACCGATGGCGAGAGCGATCATGCGAACGATGACCGACACGAAGTCAAATAAATCGGCCTTATGTCTCCGGATGAGAAAGAGGAAGGCAATCGAACAGGCCATCACGGTGCAGAAGGAAATCCAGTAGTAGAGATAGACGATTTTCCAGCTCTTCTCAGCGATGTCAATGGAAGTTTTCTCCTCCAGTTTGGCAACGGGAATCTTCATACCAAGGCCATTAAAGACGCCAGAGAAAATGTTATAGACCAACTCCACAAATTCCTTAGGCCATTCTTCATTTTCGTAAGTGCTGGAGTTTTCAGGAGAACAAATTCCGGTAGTGTTGCCGATCAGCCAAACATCGTTGGTTGTGACGTTTTGGAAACCGTACGTCTCGAGTTTCTTGTCGAACTGGAAGTAGTCGACCATCTTCTGTAAAGTGTCTCGTAGCTTGGCTCCGTCCAGATTCTCTTTTACACAATACTGCACGACCTGTTTGGTGGTCTTCTGATAAGTCTTCAAAACATATCGAGCTGTGGCCACCTGTTGAGATCCTTCGACGACACCAACGATGCCTAGCTGGAACGGGAAGTGAAGAATGGACCAAATCTGTTGTCGAATTGTTCCGTAATGGCCGTGAGGAAAGTTGTCGAAATACAATGCCCAGAGCAGGACCTATGCAGAACATGATTAGCCCATACAGGAATCATGGCCGCACAAAAGCTTACCAGGACCATAATGATGCACATGATTAAGAAGCAGCCTTCTACATCTAAGCCGCTCTTCCCCATCAATCTAGACACGGTCTTCGTGACTCCGATGGCGCCCTCGCCAATAACAATGAGTGTTAGAAGACTCATACGTTCCATCAAGTGCGTCTTCTTGAAGCTCAACATCCTCCAGCAGCAGGAGATAGCAATCACACCAATAGCCTCGAGAAGCATCACAGCGTACCACACGAGGTATATGTGGCGGTGAGACTGCTCTTTCTCTCGGAAAGCGGGCGTCATCGCTGCAAAGACGGCGGCGGCAGCCACGTAAATGACAATAATCAAGCCAATCGGAAGGTTCAACTTGTTGGCCTTGGCTTTAATACAGTAGTACTTGGATTGTTAAAAGCTTCCTTTCGGTACAAGTTTTTAGGAACTCACTAGTACGACGACATACTGCACAGCCAACATTCCCCTACTGAGGACTAGGGTGTAGCAGAGGATGCGGAAGTTCTGAAATCGAGTCAGTCAAACTCAGTGGGCGAAGATGCGCAATACTAACGGTATTGTCTCCTGGTTCAGGATCCTTCGACCCTGGTTTGAAGGCAGATCCGACTAGGGCGAGGCCTACAAACACAATGAATTGGATAGTCTTGCACACTCGCTCATATATGGAGTCCCGGGCGAAGCGAACATCGTGTAAAGTGACTTGGAACCAGGAAGACCATAGGATGCCAAAGAAACCGACGTATGCTAATAGGTAAGACGTGTCGGTGATGGAGTGATAGGCGGTAAATGTCGCGAGATTGGCCACAAAAAACAAGTCAAAAAACAGCTCCACCGTGTTCGCCTCATGGCGCTGTGAGAAAACTAGGTGCTCATGGTCGGCGCCGGTGAGAGGAGACTCAATAAACGGAACAGTCTTATGGAGTCTTCTGAGGTGCTTTTCAGAGTCACTGGAATATGCACATTAGCAGTGATGCATATGCACTTGGGAAATGGTAAACATACACTTCCCGCTTCTTGCCGTGAAATGAGAAACCCATTGTGCGAGTCTCCTCTGCGTAGACCAGAGTCCCCAAGGCGGAGGGTCAAGAAATGGGAGAGAATTGGAGACACACAGTGGTCGTCGTATAAAGCGGCGCCCTCCCGTCAATATGTACTCCGCTTGCGCAAAGACATGTTCTTTTTTAAGGCTCAGCCTGGTATTGCATTTCGCCAAAGCGCCAGGGAACGGGGGCTGCAATCGTGAGAGGCTGATGAACAAGAAGCAGAAAGCTTTTCGGCCAAGGCAGGGGGAATCCGGAAAGCTGACTGAAGGGGCGCCCAGTTGCCCGCAGCGGCAAGGCTAAGACTAAAGCAGATGGAGCTGAATGGAACTTGAGAGACTTCATTGGGTGTTTCAGACACGTGCGCTCGAAGCGATGGGCTTCGATGTCTGGTCCCAAGCCGGGCTGAAAAGCTTCGTCGTGCTTGGCTCGTGTTGAGGCCTCCGCATTCTGCAGAGAGCAGTTGGAAGCGCAGAATCGTGGCTCTGTGCAGCTTCGCAGCGAATGCGGATTAATCGGTAACAAAACCTGTGCGATTTTTGGCGCCACACGTCTCCCAGCCTCAAGCAATCACGAAGTGAGTGGCAGGGGAGCTGACGCGTGGTGTGAAGCCGAGGGTTGACGCTATTGATGTGGTCTGGACTCCCGCCCCCAACCAATCCCTAACCTCCAATGTCGGTTATGCACCACCATGGCGGCCTTGAGTCGGTTTGGCGCACCTAAAATGAATACTGGGTAGATATTGGTGTGGCTGTGTTAGGTCCGGCGTAGCACCAGAGGGTCTGGGGTGGAGGCATCTGGGGTTTGAGGGCATGATTGTCGGGACTCGGGGTCGGACGGAATTGGAATTGGGATTGGGAAGAACTCTTATGTCAGCACCAACGATATCCCCTTCCCCATGCTCCCCTTTAATAACTAGATATGACCCTTATCCTGCGAAATTTCCCCCGTTGTTGCGATTGGGTATTGCCGGGCAATGGGTGTTTCCGCAGTGTCATCTCTGTGTGGTGTGCGGGCTTCGGGTATGTATTGGATGGCCCGACCCTCTGCAAAACTTTGCTAGCAAGCCTCGTCCATCCAATTGAAGGTGTTTACTTTTCAACGCTGCACAACAGATCTAAAAACATTATCAGGTTCTCCGTAAGAGTCAAGTTAGACTCTTGCGAGATCGTCAGGTTTCCGTGGGTGAAGATGGGATGGTTACATACTGAGCCACCGCCAGCCAAATCGAGACCTCCAAAAACCACGCAAAGGCTGAAATAACCGTTGGACGATTTCAGCACGATCGAGCCACTCGATGGTCGATCTCCCAAACGAAAACCTACATAGCTCTTATTCGCAACAATATCAATGCCTGCAAACCCCGCCAATCCAATATATCCTCTGTTTACTCAGCGACTGCCTGCAAAGCTCTAACGTCAAAGAACAATGTATAAAACAGACCTTAGGTAAATCTCGTCTCCTGTGCTCTCTCAATTACACCTTCTATTGATAGAAGTTCACCTATCATGCAAATACCGTTTCTTCTCTCCACAGCCTCCCTTCTAACTAGGGCTGTGGCTGGATCTTGTGCACCCACATTTGAAGGTCGCATTCCACCAAACGCCACATCTGCGCTCTTCAGCTCGGCTGAAAGTCCTTTCAACCCGAAATATGTTCTAGGCAAAAGTAAGTTTTGCATTTGTATCACGTCAACGGAATGTCGGTCTTGGATGAAGAAGGAGCTGAACTTTCTCGTGTAACACATTAGATATTTCATGGGACCAAGTGATATCTTTTCCAGATGTTCAGCCGTCGATTGTAGGTTAGATTGGTTGGTGTGAGCACCTAGTAACCTGACGACTCCAGCTCGATGCCGTAGCCCAGACCAAACCAATTGAGATCAAAATCACGTGAGTACTTGTTCAATCAGGAACTGCGTTGCGGATCAGCCCGTCTTGAGTTGCGCCCCCTTCCACTTCCAAATACAGTATTCTTTTTTCCCTCAGTCTACAGTCCATTGGCCTCCCCACGGCCTACACCGCTACTTTTCATCTCGCTACTCTCAACATCCTAACTAACCTAGTAAAACACCGCCAGTGACGCATCTATCTTCTCCTCCTCCTCTGAGGGTCCCGAAACCGCTCTCCGCCGAGCCGAACTCCTCGTCAATAACCGTCCCTCCACAGTTTCGGGCACAAAAACTTGGTTCCTTAGTCTCCGCACCTCCCCCGCCCGTCCTCTAAACTACACACATGAATACCTTCTCGCCTTCCATGAAGCCGCTGACTACCAAGCTGATTTCTGGTCTCTTAAGACTGGTGTCCCGATGACAGGATCCTATGGCGAAATCATCGGCTTCAGAAATGCCAGCGTGGAAGGCGGGGTCCAAAACTGGATGGGTGAAGGAAGAGTCCTCTATCTGCAAGGCTACAAATGGGCTTCGCCTGTGCAAACCTTCTTCCTAACCCCGTTCTACCCCGACACATGGCATAATTTTGGCATATACCTCGACTTCAACAGTAACCATTTGCAAGTCTTGTACTCTACTGATAACAACCCTTTACACTTAGTCACACCACTGCTTCCCAATAATTTGTCAGGAAAAGCGCCGACGACGCTTGGGGAGACACATTTTGGTATTCAGAAGAAGCCGGTAGGTGCGAATTTGACGAATTTCTTGTATGAAGGGGAACAGGAGTTGGGGGTGAGAGAGGGGTTACTTATGGGGGGAATTTCGCAGATTGAGGGATTTCCGATGGGGTGTAATTTTTCGTTTGTCCAAATTCGGAGCAAGGCTATTGATTGATTCTCGTGTGTGTGGATGTACACGAGCAGATACTGGCCTTCCCTTTTAAACCCCGCAGATAACATCCAGCATTAGGCAAACTTACTCACTTGTCTGGCCCTGGATGCATGACAGAGACATCGGCGCTTGCGAGAAGGTGGCACTCCGAACCTGCTGCGCGAAATTGATCAAATATGTGAGAAAATCTCGTACAAGATTTCCACTTTCCCACGTAAGCTTCCACTTCCACATGCTTGTTCTACTCTATATGTCTCGCATCAACATCAAGTCCGTGAATATACCCCTGCAATTCACATATTGGTCATGGAGTATGTTATCATGCCGCATGTCCTCGGCCGCACTCACTTCATGTCGTGTATTCTCACTAGTACTCATTTCAGCCTCTCCCCTCTGGCCATCATTTTCATTTGAATCCATTGTCTTTCTGTCCTCCTCCAAACCCACCATCCAAGTGCGGGAGCAGCAGTCAAGGATACAGCTGATCATGCCATACTAATTTCTACGGAAGCACCTATGGAGAGCTTTGCGGGCTAGGAGGTGCCGTCGGCATTGCTATAGGCGATGCTATACGCCTTTCGGTCTCGGAGGCTGATGCATTTGACACGGTTGATGCAGCTGAGGTCGGCGTAGTCGGATTCGTTATGGAGACGTCTTTGGCTGGCGAGTGATGTCGACGGCGCTATAACGCTAGAAACGACAGGCCGCGTAGTGGCCTTGATGTAATACGACACTATGAAAGAGTCAGACTTTCCATCTTCCTACACCGAATACCCAAGTAAAAGGTCGAGGAGAGCACTGAGTAGAAACCAGTAGCATCCACAGTCCAATCGTATTCAGTTATTCGTAATCTGGATTTTGCTCGTTTGATTGCCAGTTGCTGTTGTCAAAGTCACATAACCTTAGTGTGAACTTCACATTTCTGCAACTAGACATTCGCTAGCGAGCCGTTCTCGTGTTGTTGAAACGTCTGGATGTTTGTCCTTGGGAATAATATGAACCATTTCAATGTCTGATCGTTCCCTTCTTCGATTAAACTATTGTACTTGTACTCTCCAGGCAGGCCTACGGAAGGTGGGTTAATCCAAAATGCACTTGGTGCAGCTACGAGGGGGACACTGATTAGGATGTATTGGAAAATATTCGCAAGACAGCTATTCTGATTATTGACCATGACAGAACGCCCAGGCGAGAGCTAGAAGAGGAGTGGAAAGAATTAAAGCTGTAGGAAGGCTGTTGCTTTCCATTTTAATATTTTTGCGAGAGACGGATTTTAGCAGAGGGTGTAGAAACATAGACACACGGACATGCAAATATATTAAATTCACGCCTATGTGAATACGAGACGAGCCAAAAATGTTCCAAATTGGAAATGCTCAGCCTGGCTCTCCGTTCAAGCCTTCTAACCCGTCTTCTGTGTGTGTGTTCGACAGGATGTCTTTGCCATGGTTACAATTCCTTGACCGCTTCGAGCGGATGCGTGTGTGTTCGACAGGATATCTTTGCCATGGTTACAATTCCTTGACCGCTTCGAGCGGATGTGTGTATTCCACCTAGTAGAACGACCAGTATTTCTTATCTTACACTTAGGCCACAATAGAATCTAGCATTTTTAACTAAGTAGGGGAAAAGGCCCAGCGAGATGTATTGTAACGAGTAGGAATATCAATGAACAAAGGCGAAGTCTTCTTGCGTAGCCAATCATATCGCATCTATCTCCAACTCCTTCTATCACATGTCCTCGCCAAAATTCCCCCTTTCATCCTCGCGCTAATCCGATCCCAAGGATCGATCAGTCACTAATGCGCGAGACCCTCTCCAAACAACCCATCTTTACCCTTTCCAACCCTATCGACTTTCTATAGAACCCGTACCCTTGCGTAGACAAGGCAACTCGCAAAAACAACCCGATGGACCGATAAGCTTGATTGTGCGCGGCTGATTCTGCCGGCGACTAACCCCTGCTGGAAGGTGATATAGATGGAGCCGGATCCCAGGAATTAGGTCGCACGCGACGTGGAACGTTGCAAGTTCGAAGTCTAGGGGAGGGGTTTAAGGATGAGGTGTCCGCTGCCGGCGACTATCATATGGCTGTTGTGTATTGTGTGCCCTCTGTGACGATAGTACAGAAGAGAGACAGTTGTTTTGCGACAGACATCCCTTCTGTCGGCTGTAGCCTTGCCCAAAGGACCAGTACAAGGTGTGAGTTGAGGGAATTGGAGGGACAGAAGATCATTGCTTGAAAGGTACGTTAGGATTTCGTCTGAGATCTACGTCGAGCGAATCCTGTTTCAAGTCCGGATGCTGGCTGTTTTGATCGTTTCGCCACGATCTGATTCATCCTTTCGAAGCTCAGACAAGAAACAGCAGCGACTTTTGGCAGACCCACTTGCATCACTTCTCATCCCCCAAGGACCCATCTTCGATATCAGCTTCAGCGCCAAACTCCCAACTCCCCCATACCTCAACGCTGACCTGGCCTCCCATCTCCAACGCCTCCATCCCCGCCTCCACCTCTACTATGGAGATCAAAGACAAAGCTGCCATTGGCATAGGCGTCCCTCTCGGCGTCATCCTAGTATTCATATTAGCTGGCATGGTGTGGGCGAACATCACGAAGAGGAAGCGAATCGCCAGGGGGGAGGTAGTGGAATTGGAATTGGGGAAACCGGATGAGAATGCACCGAAGCCAAAGGTGATCAAGTGGAATCCGCATGGTTGACTTGAGCCTGGTCGTTTGGAGAGGCAGGAGAGGACGGGGAGCGAATGGGCTGGATGGGGTGAAGGAATACGTACATTTGCAAGGTCTGGGTGTGGTGAGATCTGGAGCGTTCTCGGGAAGTTTCAGGGAGAGGAACGTGGGGATGAAAGATGGAGATGGATCTAGTGCAACAAAGAATATGAAGGAGATGACTACGGCTGGTTAGGATATCTAGGAGTTCTCAGCGCTTGGTTGTCTTCAAAACTAACGGAATCACTTCTACGCGTCACGTATTGTTTCCATCTCTGGCCCTGTCTTGAATGCATTTTCAATTTAAACTAATGATCATTAGGAATTCTATATCTGAAGTTAAACTCGTTGCTCTCCGTAGAGTAGTTTCTGGACGAAGGCGGCAGTCCCAACAACCAAAAAGCAATGCGAGTCCACCTATGCACCCCTCCTTACACTAAAACGTCCCATTCCATCCAAAATATCTATCCCCTACGACCCCGGGACACTCCAAATCTGCGCAAACGGATCCTCCGTCGAATTCCTCCACCTCTTATACTCACTACTCATAGCCACAAAATCCGCCACCTTCTCCCCATATACATGTCCCACCCACGCATATGTGAGATCAATGCCAGCCGAAATCCCAGACGAGGACCAGATGTTTCCATCCTCGACCCAACGCGCTGTCGGAACCCAGCTGACGTTGGGCCCGGTGGACGTTGCCCACGTCCAGGATCGCTTGTTTGTGGTGGCACGACGGTTGTTGAGGATGCCTGCGCGCGCGAGGATGGTGGAGCCCGTGCAGACGGAGAGGATATGTTTAACCTATATCCGGGCTAGTTAGCCTATTATAGACGGTTAAGGTCGAGAGGGTAGGCTGAGGAAGTACCTTCGGATACATAACTCTTACAAACTCAATTTCTTCCTCTCTCGGCTCCCTCGTTCCCCCTCCCCCAGGCACAATCAACACATCAATCTCCCCAGGGTGCGCACTCTTCATCATGCCATTCGCCGCTAACACTTCCTTGAACGTCGTCGTCGGTACAATTGATTCTCCGAAATCCCCGTGTGTCATGTTCATGCGCGCTGTGCGCTGTGGGGCTGTTGGCACGGCGTCAAGAGTGGAGCTGATGATGGAGAGATGCATGGTCGTGTTGTAGAGCATGGAGAGGGTGTTTAGGACGTCTAACGGGCCAAAGACGTCGAGGGACTGGAAGGTTGGGAAAACCAGGATGGCGTAGTTGAGGGGGAGGGTGGTGGTGTTGGTTATGGGGGGTTGAACGGGGGTAGCGAGGGTGGAGGGGAGGGAGAGGAGGGAGAGGAGGGAAAAGGAGAAAGGGGTGGGGCGCATCGTGTTGGTAATACTTGAAGTGGGAGGGGAGAATTGGTGCTGGGGATTTCCAACTGAGTGTGGAAAGAATGCTTAGAGGCGAATAATGAGGCGTAGATGTTGTAGAGACCGACGTTCCTGACGCTGGCAATGAATCAGAAAGAGAGTAACTGCTTTGCTGAAAGCCATCCATCGTGAGCCCTCCTTCCCTTATATATTCTCCCCCAGCTGCCCGCCATCATAGATTCCTCCAACTTCCGAGTCAGAAGCGCTGCGGCCTGAGGCCTAGGTTTGAATTTAATATGTTGTGCCCCATTTTACTGGCACTTGTTCATCAAAGCATCAGCGTGGAAACAGTCAAACGGCTTTGAAACAAAACACCCGCGGGCATTTCTCTCAGCGATTTGCACGGTTGAAGTGGGTGGGTGAATCCTTCAAGCGGTGCGTGATACAGCCACGCCAGCGTGAAGGGAAGACAAGATGCAGCGTAACCGTGAGAAGATTTGAGCGAGTTCTGCTGCATTTTCGGCTATGTATTGGTGGTATTGACAAGTACTGACAGAGTGCAGGGCGTTCGTGGATGGCGGGGAACATTGGTGTTGTGTGGGGTGGACGGTTAGAGAGGGCTGAATAGATGAAAGACTGGGGAAATTATATTAGCCAGTTAGTAGGGAATCATGGGGGCAGTCTTGCGGTAAGGATTCCGAGTGGAAGAATTGTCTGCGTGCTTGGCCGATGGGTTTGGGAATCCGGGGTTAGAGCGTCCAAAGGAGGGCTTTGGGCTGCATCTGTGCATTGGGAAAGGAGATATGATAAAATTGCAGGGCGAAAACGCAACTACCAGGGGGGTTACACGTGCCCCTGTCTCCGCCGTACGCCGGGAAACTATGATCTCGTGTGGAGGTTTATAGTGGTGTTCAATATGGAATATGGGAGACGGAAGTTTAGTTCAGCCTGGACGCTTCCTGGGCTCTGAACGGGCGGACCAGGTCTGTCCGAGGTATTGGCAGACGGGCTGCTGCATGTGGGCACAGTCTAGGATGTATTGCTGCAGGACATACGTATCAAAGAATGGGAAGAATAATCCATCGTTGAACGGCCACAAAGACAGTGCCAAGATGGCAGTCGGTTGAAACAACCTGAGTCTGTGCATTGCAGGTGATGACCGTTTTGGCGTGGAGACATGTGGTTGCGCTGATTGGCTGTTGAGATATCGGACCACTGTGCTGACATCCCCAGGGGTGGATTTGATCTGGTAAAACTCTTGCGAAAAGACAGGAGAACAGTAAGAAGACGCAGACCGCTGTTGCAAATTCAATCGTTACCATCTTCTGTAGCAGATGCAGCAAATTTTTTTTGAAACCGGAGAGCTCAGACTCTAGAGCCAGCTCTGTTAGCATATCCATAGAGATCACGGATGGCGGACAGGCTGGATTGAATCTGCCGAGCGCGCCTTGCTGGGTTGTAGAAGAACTTATTAGCATACAGACCTCTGTCATACACGACGGGATGTTTGAGCGAGTGAAGCCAACGATGATGAACAAGATCAACCGTCAGACGGGGGCCGGTGCCAAGCGGTACCTGCCGGTGACGCAAGTGGACCAGCGAAGTGTGCCCTAGTCCACTTTTCACGTCAACAGTGGCCGCTGCCAGAGACAGAACGTTCACTCACAACAGGAGCACCTTCTTTTCCTCTCCAATGCGCCGCAGATTTGATCAGAACGCTGCCCCGACGAGGTAGATCAACTTGCCTCCAGCTCCCCTCCCCCCCACCATGGGCCTCACCCGGCCCGCCATGGACCCGAGACGAAAGTCGTCGACCCTACATTACCAGACATTCCCCACGAAACCGCCCACTTCCCGCGGCCGCCCGCTCTCGTCCTCTCCCTCTCCGCCTCATGGCCGCGGCTCCGAGTCTGAGGATGTCCACCATGAGTCGCCACTCCCGACCAAGCAGCTCGCGGTGCTGGCTGTCATCGCGCTCGCCGAGCAGACGGCCCTCAATTCGATCAGCCCGTATCTGCCAGAAATGGCGTCTACGTTCCCCGAGGTGAAGGAGGGCCAGGTCGGGCTCTACGTCGGCTTGATCGCGTCGTCTTTCGCGCTGGCACAGTTCGCGACCAACTTCTTCTGGGGCTGGCTATCCGACCGCATTGGTCGGAAACCTGTAATACTGCTGGGAACGCTACTGACGCTGGCCTGCTTCGTCGCATTTGGCTTCTGCAAGACGCTGTGGCAGGCGGTGGTGGTCCAGATGTTCATGGGCTTGGTCAACGGCAACGCCGGCGTCGTGTCGACCTGTCTGGGCGAGATCACCGATCGCAGCAATCAGTCCAGAGCCTTTACTTACCTACCCGTCGTGTACGGCCTTGGTGGCATCACCGGGCCCATTGTGGGCGGCGTGCTAGTGGTGTTGTACAAGAACCCCCTCCATCAGGACCAGCCAAAGTACCCGTACCTCCTCCCGAACCTATTCTCCGCCGTCGTGCTCGCAATCGATCTGGTAATCTGCATGCTCTTCTTGGAGGAAACGCTCCAGGAAGCGAGGGATCTGCCTCCATTGGGGAAAAGGGTAGAAAACCTGTTCGCGTGGCTGTGGCAGTTCACCAGCTCAACACGGCCGACATACATCCGACGGCTCCTTGGGAGGAAGAAGCGCCACCATCGTAACGACTATCTGGATGGTATTGAGGAAGAAGACGATGACGCCGGCTCCGAGTCAGAAATGTCCGTCCCCGAACTCTTCCCGCATGCTACCAGCGAGCAGCTCTCGAGGAAGGAGATTTTCAATCGCGATACCGTCCTCCTTCTTGTAACCTACTTCATCTTTCAGCTCGCTAACATCTCGTACAATTCCCTCTACCCCATCTTTGGCGAAGAACAGCCCCCCACCGGACGAAGCCTGTCTCCAGAAGAAATAGGGCTCTCACTCGCGTTCGCTGGCGTCATCACAATTGTCTTCCAAATCGGCATCTATGGGAAGATCAGGGAGCAGATCGGAAATAAGACCACCTACAGGTTCAGCCTGGCTGCATTCGTCGTCGCGTTCCTCCTCATGCCGTGGGTCGGCTACAAAGACAGTGCGCCATGGAAAGGCATGGGCAGTGGAAAAGGCTGGCTATGGGCTGAGCTCGGTGTGATTCTAGTCGTCAAGACGGTAGCTAGTGTTGGCGGTCTCACATCCGCGCTGCTTTTGGTAAACCATAATCCCCCCCCCTCAACCAACCCCCCTTTTGACACAAGGTCAACCTTATTCTAACATGTAAGTCTACAGATCACAAACTCAGCACCCAACCACTCCGTCCTCGGCACACTAAATGGCCTCGCACAAACCCTCTCTGCCGCTGGCCGCGCCGTGGGCCCTTTCATTTCCGGCTCGCTTTTCACGGCTGCTACTAAAGTCAAGCCGAAAGGTGAGGCTCTTGCATTCGGCATCTTTGCGGGCGTATCTTTCGTCGGGTTTGTTCTGAGCTTTGGGATCCGGGGGAATGGACTTGAAGCTGAGGGCTGGAGCGAGAGTGAAGATGATGGCGAGGATGAGGATGAGGATGCGGATGCGGATGCGGATGATGATATCGAGAGCCATGGCGAGGGAGGAATTGTGAATGAGAGGTCGGGGTTAATGGGGAAGTGATTGATAATAGAGGTGTGATGGTGGGACAACGGCATGGGTTTGGGTTTCAGCGCGGCGTTTTGGGGCCTCTGGTGAGCAATTTCTAGATCTGGGACACACACATTATGTATAGGACTCTGTTCAACTGATCCGCAAGGGTCATGGGACGTAATACCATGGATGGAAAAGGAAGGAATGAACTGTGACGATTCGGCACTATTGTAGAGTATGTAACCGCATAACAGGAAAAATAACAAAGGATGGGTCTATCTACCAACCCTCTTGCTGCAACCAGGGAGAATGTTCTAAGATGCAAATTTCTGTTCCGAACTACCCACCTGTGGAGTTCCATAGGAGCATGTTATTTATACATTGGTCCAAAAAAAATTTTGTTTTACAGAGGAATTAGTCGTCTACAGCGTGACTTGACTACAATGAAGCCGGCCTCGATCGCTGAGAAACGAATCGGAGTAGAGAACTACGTATTCACCAAAAAAATTATACATATATCAACTCCATCCAAATCCACATCCACACCACCTCCCCAGCCTCATCTTCCTATCACCCCCAGCGCTAACCCGTCACCCCTAACCCCTAACCAATGACCCTCCTAACCCCCTCTCTAAACAAAATCATTGCATAAAACCTATGAAAAGGAACCAAGACCCCGGTCAAACTCTGGTCTCGTATAGGGTTGCAAGCTGTGCTTGGGTACTCAATTTCGATCTCCGTTGTTCCTGCTCCGGTGGCCGGGCTAGTGGGTAGGTGTGTGGGACGGTATACCGAGAACCTATGGACGCCCGCGAAGGAACTCGTATCGGAGCCAAAAGCTACGTCGATGTAACTGTGCGTTCTCTGTATATGTGGGTTCCCTGCATTCGTTTCTTTCGTGGTCGGTACGGTGTCATCGACGTTGTCGTCGGATTGTATCTCCAGCTTCTTATCGATGACTTGGAAAACTCCGAAGAGCATCGTATGCATCGGGAGTAATCTGTCTTCTGATAATTCTGACGCAGACCATATCCGTAGCGGAACTGGGTAGGATTTTAAACCTGGGCGATGGGATTAGTATGGTGTGATGTGGACATGTGAACTTGGTACATGATGTTGGTACCTAAGGGGAGCATAATGGGGGCGGTTTAGGCAGGAGTTTGCATCCTGTTAATGTTCTCCTAAATCTCAGGGGGGAGGGGGTTAGGCGATTCATCCTTCACCGATATGTTCCATAGAAGGCACGAATATGCAGTAGAGAAGGTCGAGAGAATTGAAACGTGACTCCAACATACTAGAAAACCTCACAATATCCGGCCTCCACACTCGAAGAACACTCCTCTCTGGCGTAAACACCCACCCCCCAAAATACCCCTTCATAAACCGTGCAAGAATAACTTCATCAGAAAGCCGGCTCGGAACGGTGAGAGTAATAGACCGCGTATCGGTGAGAGCGACACAGCTGTTTGGATTTGTAGTTTTACGGATAGAGGCGGAGCTGCTGAAAGACGGCGGTATGGTATCTGAGCTTGTGATTTTGTAAGGAAGATTGGATATTGATCGCAATGTCACGAAGGCATAGGCACTAAGTGCTGTGATAGTAGCTGTGGCGGAAGCTTTGAGGAGAGTGGTCATATTTGGTTGGAGGTGAAAGACGTTTTAAGGACAGAATTTGGAAGGATTAGGGACTGAAATAGGATGAGTAGATTAATTGAGTAGATTAATTAAATAGGGCTTCCCTTCCACGACGGAAGACTGGCCTTGTCTTAAAAACATCGCGATCTAGAGGTTGAGTCATCCTCCACTAAGTTCTGGGGCTGAGGCCGCTCTCCGCTTTTCTCCGGATCACCACGTCCGCGCGCACAGAGATACTGTTGTCTGCGGAACAACTCCACAACTGGACAAGGAAGAGTGGAGGCCAATGGTGGTTGATAGGAGGTGCACGCGCATCTTGTGTGGCTTTCTCGGGATTGGCGAGATGGACTTGAAAATTACTATCGTGTACAATGCTGAGATTCGCTGAAAGTGAAAACTGAGATGAGGGTATCTCATACACTTGTTCTTCTGCTTCCACCCACTCCGCGATCTTTGTAGTAGCTGATTTGACTTCCGCCCTCAAAATGGAGCGCCACCGGACTCGACTATGCTGCAGACTCGGGCCTTCGTAGCGATGGCGTGGTCAGGGAGCTGCTTGATGGTTACGCCACATCTGCGCATAGGCATTACTCCCTTCCTCGACTCGTCGTGCAATCCACTCACATCACATCCTCCGCCTCTTCGAATCGTGCTTGGGATTGTACCTTGCGAGCTCATCGATTTCACTTGGGAGCCGCCGATACGGGATGCTGCTGCGGACTCATAGGTTCCGCTGGAGCTTCCTGTATCTGGGTATTATCGATCTCAACCGGCGCATGCTGGATTCCCGCCATCCCCTGATCCGCATAATACGGCATCTTATTCCCTCCAGCATAGTACTCCGGATGCTGTTGGTCGTACGGTTGCTGATATCCCATTCCCGTGTACGGGCTTCCTTGTGGATGGTATTCCTGTCCCTGCGCAAACACTGGTTGTTGACCCATCATCGGTGCTGCGCTTGGATCCTCTTTTTTCGACCTCTTGAGACTCCAGATATAGAAGAGTAGACCTGCGATAACGGCCAGCGCAATTGGACCGATTACCGCACCTGCTATCCACGCTTTGCTGGATGAGCCGCCTCCGGATTCACTCGAATGGGTCGCAGATGGCGCGGGACTGGTATTTGAAGGAGTTTTGTCGGATAGGGCAGTTGTAGGAATATTGTCACCGTCTGTCTGCATCGCGATGGATGTGAGAGTCTTGACGACAGCTGCGGGAGGTGTGCGGAAAGCAGTCCAATTCCCAGTCCCGCATCCAACGTAGATGAAGGGGTTTTGGTCGTTACTATCTTGGGAGATGAAGGCTGTGCGGCAGATGGAATTTGCGCCGGAGCTTGTGCGATGGTGAGCGAAGTAATGCAGAGAAGGCGGTATTATCTTACCAAGTCGCATTCCGCCCTCCTTTTTCTATGATGACAGACTTATCCAGACATGTCGTCCAGATTCCACAAGCTGAGTTTGTTGTTGTCGTTGGACAACATCTTCCCCAGGTTGAAGTTTGATACCAAGCGCTATTACTTCATAAGCATAAATGTATCTAAAATAAACAGTCATGTGCCTACCTGCTCGAGGGACAATAGTTTGCAGACCATGTGGTGCCATCAGATGTGTAGCCAATGAAGTCAGAATCCGTGATGAGCGCGATCGCTGCGGAAGTAGTGGTGGTAGCTGCATATGCTGAGGGTAAGAAGAGAGGCGCAAGGAATGGCAGCAGGAGGCGCGTTCCAGAATATCGGTTTTGAGCCATTTCGACAGGCTCAGAAAGAGAAGGCGAACTGCGATGACAGCTCTTGATCAACGACAGGTGTAGAATTCAAACCACCTTAACAAAGGGGAGGGCAATGGCGGAATTCAGAAAGTGAGATCTTATTTCTCGAAAACGTCTGGGTGCACTGTTTTAGTGTATTGGAATACACAAGAGGCTGTTTGAAATGTCAAGTGGGAGGAGAGACAACGAGCGGACGGAGTTGAAGAAGTTCGGCGACCAGCAGACACTGCGTGAGTGACTGTGGGGGCAAATTAAGGGGATCAACAACTCAAAGAAAACAGGGAACATAGCCTGGGGATCCAACCACGACTCAAGGATCTGATTTCGCGTTGTTCGGTCTGGTAAGCGATTGTTGAATACGAGTTAGTGCTGAGCATTGTCGCCAAGATGCTGCGAGCTGATATTAGGGCTTTCTTGTCGTGCGGATGTCTTCCGTTTTGAACTTTGCCTTCCAATTGAGATGAACGAAATACACTAGAGAACTGGAGAATTTGACACCGCCGATAGGGAAAGAAAGTCGGGAGAAATGCGCCAATCAAAACCACTCGACTTGGCCCCCAGATTAACATTCTAGGACCTCTCAAGCGACTTCGGTCAATCCATCACCAGTTCACTTTTCCTACTCTCAGTTTCATTCATTAATACTCCTATTCTTCAATATTCTCAAGATCATCTTTATTAGCGGAAGGGGAAGAATATGACATTTGACTTCTGCAACTCGTCGTATTGATCGTGCTTTTGTGCTAAGCCCGCACCATGTTTGCTACCCCTCAGTCACCACAAGACTTAGACGTGGCTTCGGTCGTGTGTCGTCAAAGGTGTTCCAAGTTGGTTCCACAGTTCGGGTGGTGCGGTCGCTGTGTTTTGTCACTTTTCCAAAGTCCCTTCATCCCGCAATACCTCTGCTAACTTGCCCACCTATTCAGACTGAGTAGCTGTATTTTATCATCTATGTCATTTCTACTATTCAGGGCGCTCACTCTTCAGAGTTCTGAGGCAGAAAGGTCGGAGTTATGATCGTGAACGGGATTGAGGCTGCCAAGTGCCAAGGTCAGGCGTCCACAGACGTGAGACAACTGGGCATCGTCCAAAAATAACGTTGGCGTTGGACAGACCTATGATATAAGCAGCTGTCATAGCAGAGTAAGGACTCTTCCTATGCTCTTTTCTCCTCGTCTGGAGGGTTTTTATATCAAAAGATCCCGAAAGAGCCACCTACAAGAAATGGAAAAGCGCTCCTCGAACACCGTAATAAATTTGAACGCTCGATCATAGCCCAAAATGAGGCCTCGTCGGTGACGGGCGCAACTTTCAACTAACACCAGGTTCTCCTCTCCAAATACCGCATTCTTCAGTCTATGTGGCCAACCCGAGTACCTTCCGGTGTCGTTGAGATTGATATCCCCTTGATTCCTTCAACAGACGGATTTCGATCCGAGAGCAACACCCTGCCAGTAAATGCCGCACACGGCCCGGGCATTTAATCTTGGTCCCAAAAAATAGGTATGAAACCGGCATGCCGACGCACTATGCGGTTTGGATACTGCTTTGTGAATCGATAATTCGGGCGTTTGGGGGAACAATGATATTATCAAAGCGGGATTCTCTTCCAAGGAGCTCACGCTAAGAACAGCATTTGGAAATCTAACAAGGCAGTCCGCCTTGACATGAAAATTTGGGCGAACGGCGCGCCTACTGGAATCAAACAGACCTCGAAAGATTGCCAGCGGAGACGCCAACGTTTGGGCATAAAGAACGACGCTAGGTTCGAAGTAAGTGCTCAGAACACGGTAATGGGTAAAACATTATTTGAATACACATATAATTCTTCTTCGTTCCAGAGTTGTTTGTGATCTTCGACCCTTGAGCTTAAAGTCCTCCAATCAACGTTTTGCTTTTGCCGAGCGTCATCTTGAAACTATACATGTAGGAACCGCAAGAGTCCGCATAAACAAAGATCAAAATGAAGACGAACTTCGTCTTTGACAAAGAACTCTAGAGGTAAGTCAGGGAATCAGCGCCTTGAAAAGCATTACTTACCAAGACAACATTGCGTATCTCTTCGCTGTGCAGTCCCGCGAAATCTCGTAGCTTGAAGTGCATCCTTTATTTCGAACAAATTTGAAACTTGTAGTACCCGCATCAAACTTATGCTCCCAGTGCAGCTGGCACTATACGTGCTTTCCGAAGATCATCGTGCTTCCATGGTGCATCAATAAGCGTTCGGACTGCAGCCCACACCAGTCCAGTTTCTGGGCATCAAGGACCTCCCATAACGGCCCCAACCAAGCGTTTCATCAGCTACTTCTTAAGTATGGGACGTGGGGGCCTGGTACCAAAGTAAGGTACGGACTTCGCGAACTGCGGACCACAAACTGAGATCTCAACCCACGCACTGCGGCGCAGTCGTGCTATTTAATATTTCTTTATACTGGACTCTATTTGGGTCGGTGCTATCCTTTGCTGCCGCCAGTAATGCAGATTTCATTCGGTACCTTTGTGACGCGCTCTTTGCTTCGGTCGACAATCTCTTGACTCGGTAGTACCTAGTCTACGCCAACACCAGACGAGATGCTCACTCTGTCGACTCTCCTCTCGCTCCCAGTGTTCCTCTCAACTACTATCATCGCTCATGCCCTAGCAGCACCCGAACTCACTTACCGCGACAACAAGGATGACAACGATAATCTCGCAGCCTCACTCACCGGGGGCGAGAAGTGCGACAAGAAAGAGTTGAAAGCGATACAAGAAGGCTTTGTGGAAATGAACAAATTATTTCAGGCGTCCATAAAAGTGAACTGGAACCGATCCGCCGAGCAAGAATTTTTTGGGAAGCCAGAGAGACTGCAAAACTACACAGCAATGGTAGAAGCCAATCTCCTCCGCGCCTCGCAATATTCCTACCTACAAGGTAACACGACACGCAACCCCGACATCCACGTCCGATGCGATGATCCGATGAAAAAGTGCCAAGAATGCACAAGAAAAGAAGGGAAACATGTTGCGTATACTATAGGGAATGATCCGCATATCAATTTCTGCGAGCGATATTTCGATTTGCCAAAGTTGGATGACGCCGTGGAGAAAGCTGCTGGGAATCTTACATCGAATTTAGAAATAATGTCGTACTATAATCGAGGTATGAACTGGACCAACGATGCACTTGGAGGAAACTAATGTCTTCCTAGCAACGGCATGGGCGAGGCAGGTAATGCACATCTCAGCTGTCGGGGTGGGCGTTGTCGAGAAGGCCGTGGTGAATTCACAGTCTCAAACCACTTTCGTCTGGACGACGTACCAGTACACTGGACCTCTGAATGTGTCGTTTCTCGCTGGAGTTAAAAATGAGCATCCTGACACTAACGGGCCAAACAATATCGAAGCCCTAAAATATGGCTACGGCGCCAATCGGGCAAAGTTACTGGCAGTACTATCGACTCAAATGCCGTATGATGCATTGAACAACCCAGATAATTACGCCTTGTACGCCCAAGCACGGTACGTAATGGAAAAGAAGGGACTCTACCCGAACTTTCCAGTTATGCAGTTCGACGACGAGATGGAGGTCTTGTCGAACGAACAATTGCAGGATGGCGCGCGCCCAAGGTACGCGTGTTTCGATGCACTAGATATTGTGTGAGTGACTGGTCGTGTGGTTTGGAGGTGTGTATTTACTAATTATTCTGTTAGACCGGCTGACAAACGGGTCACCTTAACTGGGAAGCCACTCTCTTCCTCTGCCTCATCGATGAATAGAGACACATCGCGGACCCCGATTCGGGGACATGCTGCCATTGCTTGGTCAATCGCGTCTTACTTTGCTCTAGTTTTACTAAGTTAATCTGAGGCGCAACTCTGGAAGGCCACAGAAGCACGCAGGGAAAGTTGAAACGTGAACGAGAGACTGGAGATGAACGACAGCTTGGAAGGCATTTCAGCGAGTAGTGAAACCCTGGAAAGAAACTTGGCAAGAAGTAAAGAGTCATGAGAGATAGAAATGAGAATGCAATCGCATCTAGAGTACAATGAGGCTTGAAAGGCGAACTGATCCCAGACCGAAAACGGTATCTGAACAGAGAATTTTAAGAATCTGGCCAAGACGCCGCAGAAAAAAAGCATTTGAAAGAACAAGACGTTTAATATGCACACGTCCGTGAGATCGCGGGTATCGCTGACGCTGACGCACAAACACGCTCATAGAGAGACTTCAAACAACGAATGAGACAAACCGAACCCAGCTCGGTGACAAAACGAAGGAAGCGGGTTAAAATGGAAACCGAGAGGGAATGAAAAGAAACATGCCGCAGACAAATGCTATCTGAAATAGAGAGAGAATTAAGAGGGCATAACAAATGGTCCGAGCGGTGGCCATTCAAGGACATTGACTCTGATATAAAATGGATTCAGCGGCTTGGAGGCTGATCCCAATGTCTGAGCATTTGCCCTAGTGCGAAATTCCACTCTGCGACGAAAGCACCAGAGAGCTGGGTAACTCCTTCTGCAGATGGGGTGCGGCCTCCCCACATCGTTGGTTGTGCGGCCTGGTACTGGGCGTAGTACGGAATAAGTTGACTAAAAGGGTCAGAAACTATTTGAAACAACTTCCGCAGAGCCTCCTATGGAACATACTCGGTTTGGACTTTGGTCAGGACTAGCCAGCAGAAGTTCCAACTGCGGTTGCTTTGGGGGTCGGAGTATACGCGTCTCTTAGCTTCCTCAAGGCATTCGGAACTATTTGAAGAGAATGGGCAGTCAGCGCGGAGGGAGTTTGCTGAAGGAAATGCGTCCTTGAATTACCTGAATGGATAGTTCTTCGTCAGGCCTCGAAGTTCGGTAAGCAGGCTGTGAGAGTTGACGTAATAGGACCCTAATGGTACCGTCAGCCGCAAATCGGCGTCGGAATGGCGGGGCAACGCACAAGCCGCAGTCATAGGTTCGGTAACATCTGGGGAGCCAAGGAGAGCAAAAGCTTTCTCAATACGTCGCAACTCTACCAGGGTGTTGACGCGGTGCGATCTTAATGCATGGATCATTTGTTCCTTCTCCTCCTAGAAACAATTAGCAACAATCAGTGACCTCAAGATTTCCCGCATATGAGGGTTAACATACAATGGAAGGCTTCCTCCAGCTAGACATGTTCATATAGGATGGCAGGCGATACCTCCTTGCTGGTGGGTTGCTATATTCGCTATACTCAGACTCGAGCGAGCCCGAAGAGTACACCGACATAAAAATGGGCTCCGGATAGTGAGAGAAGTCACCACTAGGAAAATCAGACCAACTTTGCCAGATCGACGCGGTTCTGCTTGATGGCTCAAGAATCTGAGGCGGTGAACTGAAGGAGCTTCGGGACTGTGATGAGAGAGCAACTGGATCTGTATCGTCTTCCTGGAATGCAGTTGGGCCCGGTAAAGAGAACCTGGTCCTTGTAGGTCGCGTGCTAGGAACAGTCAAGTAACTCGAAGTTGCAATGTTCAAAACAGTTGAAGAAGCTCGAGATAATGGTGGTGATAATTGAGGGTCGGTCTGCAGCGGGGGATCCATAGATGGGAGGAGGGGTTAGAACAATTTATACATATCCCAGGCTTGTACATAGAGCATCAAGCAGAATATGAGCGTGAAGCTTGGGCATCATAACCGTGAACGAATGAAACGCTGCATTCCACCTAGGACAAGTGGTTGCTGATATCTGTCTTCGAATGAGCCACACAAGAGTAGTCAAAGCTCCGAAGCCACAAGGTGATGCAGTTCTTTCGGAATACGGGCGGCGGGGGAGAAGAGGTAGCAAGAAGAAGTAACACGAAGGAAAAGTGGTAAGGCGTGTAAGATGTCTGACTAGATAGAGAAGAATAGATATCCGCCCTACCACGTTTTAGGGACGTTTTGCACGCCAGTTGCACGCTAAGACACCGCACCTATCTACCAGCTACACAAAAGTTAGACTAACTTGGGGCTGCGGATCTCCCGCCTGTCAAAAACGAGTGAGATGGGGTGCATTCAGCTACTGGAAGGGCTCAACCACTCCTCAGTGGCTAGAGTAGCATACGGCCCGGTAGATCCCAAGAACTAGGATGATGTTCAGGCCGCACTTCAAGTCCGTTAAGCCACAGGCGCGGTTCAAAAACTGGTCGTGAAGAAACACTATTGGCTCCCAAGAGCAAAATAAAGGTGCGCCAGTGAGCGTCAGTGGGGCAACTCTGACGGCCGGCCTACAAACCCCATGATTCGAAATCGAACGACTGGGCTTTCTGTTCGTCGCTGAAAAGACAATTGCACGGTGTCATCCGCAGCTCTCAGCTAGCGATGTTACTTCAAAGGTCGTAAAAGAAGGCACATTTTGATAAAAACGTCGTGATGAGTGTTCGGGAACTCGTCTTTCCGGGTGGCAGAGGGCGAAAGAGGTATTCGCAATCTTCAACTAAGCAGTTTAGCGAGAAGACGCAGGTGTTGAGGCTGGTGCTGATGTCGAGCTGACAGAAGAAGATATGGATGTCGAAGTTTCTCGGAGCGGTCTTCGGCCTTGCCCGCGACCTGTGGCTGGGGTTGGAGCTTGGCAGTGGCTCAGCCTCAACTTGACTTCAATACCTCACCGCCTCTCGCGATGCGCAATTCATTCTCACCACGCGAAAGACATTGTTCTCGGGTATCTGGTTAGCAATTTCGACATCAGGAAACAAAGAACGGAGTTTGCGTCAGGCACCCCTCACTTCACCCCCAAACTTCGCATTCACTCTGTCAGCCACAGGTCGCCCGGCAATGTGTCTCGGAAAGCAGGTCACGGACCTGTGGCCGTGCAGACTTGGAAAGAGCCTCATCGTGGTATCAATTGGGGGTTAATTCGGCGGCGCCCTTGCGAAGCTATTGGTTATCCTCTGTGTTTCTACGCCGTCATTTACCTGAGGCTGAGGCTGGCAGCTGCTGTCAGCCGCCACAAGCCCTCCGTCTCGCTACCTGGTTCAAAGCGGTAACATCGACAGTTCCCATGCACCATGGGTGCCACCATCTCTACCATGACCGGGTCACACCAGCTGATAATACCACCCGAGAGCGTTTTACGACAAAAGATTGGTTGTTTCTTCACCATACAAGAGTCAAGCATTCTGCGATCCGCCGCTAGAGGAAGATGAAATAAGCATACTCCTCTGACTCCGTTTGGATCGGAGAGCTTTCCCTTCACATCGTTCTCATATCCACGTCTCCATGGGCTCTGATCCAATAGAACGAGTTGTCATAGCTAAGGTTTGCCCCCTCTGGGGTTTTGAAACCCAGCCTGTCATACTCAGCTTAAGGTTCAAGATTAAGTATGCTTTAGTGTCTGCACAAGACCTCCATGGTATCAGCAATGACTGCATGATGCGTTTTAATCATCAAAGTCAGGTCTATAGCCCCATGTTCTTCATGCTAACATCCTTTTCTCCCGTTCTCGACTCTGTTCAGCCAACGCACTACAATCGTTCCAGGTTTAGTCTCTCTCACCAGACAAGCATTTCACAGAAATAAGCTTAAGGTAGGCTTTATACGCTTTCGTACCTATCGGCACTTCCGCTAAAGAGTCGGAGACTATCAATCGCTGGATGCGGACCCTAATCGGGCGTTTTCGATTACCATCTTAGGAAAAAGCATTCGTCCACTTCGAAATCTCACATCTTTCTAGAATGTCTCTCCTTACCCGCCCGTACCAGTCGGTCCCGCCTCACCCCAGGGTAAGCACCGCGACCCAAAGGTGAAGTATTCGCTCAAAGCACCCCTCATTGTCTCACTTCCAGACAAGATATTGCATCCCCGTCATACTCCCCTCCCAGCTCCTCGAAAGGAAAAGCCACATCGGCCCCAGGTCTCGGGTGAAACTAAGACCTCTTGCCCAATTGATTGAGCCGATAGAATTTACACTCTCATCACATGAGTAACGACTGATACAGAGTCTCTTCTCTTTCAGCTGGTATTCAGCTAGTAATCGCAACACATGGAGATATCCTACCCACCTAAACAGGGGATATGCGCAGGGCGTTCCTGCAAGAAGATGACACAAGTAGTTTTGCTGACAGCTCTAGACGTCCTTTTTGACAAATAACCGCAGAGGTTAAGTATTGTACTTGACTCGGACTGAATCTCTCCTAAACCCCATGCTCAGTTAATCTCAACAGACATCACCTTTCCCATGTGTTGTCTACCGAAAATGGGTGAATGTCATATCATGACTGATCTGCACTGCTTCAAGATATTTGTGAAATGATTCAGCTATGAGGGACTGTCAAAACTAGAAATGTACAGTCGCGTAGCTCCATGTCAATCAGCTTCTTTTAGTTAACAATGAAGGCTTTAACAGCAGTTTAAGGCAGAAGATCACATTGCACGTGACGCCGTGTATCTCAGCCGTTCGGCCAATGACGCGCATGTTGGTTGGCCCGAGCTTCATCAATATCTCAGGCTGCTATTCGCTTCTGTTGCCTACATCCCACATCCAGCCTATCCCATGTACTTAAGGCCAACCTCTCTCCAACCAAAACAACCCCTCCAATTCCTTCGCCCCAATCTCTTCAGCTCCTTTCAGCCCCGCCTCTTCCACATCCACCCCTCCCTCCGACGCCAACACCGCCTCACCATGTCCTCAACCCCAAAAGTCACCTCCATCGACGCTCTCCCCGCCTCCGAGGCAAAATGGATCGAGTTCCAGAAAATATCGTGGACAGATCAAACAGGGAAGCCGCGCATCTGGGAATCGGCATCGCGGAAGACACGCGGGAAATCAGGCGTTGATGCCGTTGCCATCAGCACCATCATCCGGCACCCCTCGCGGCCCGCCTCCACAATCATCATCCTGCAATACCGTCCTCCAGTTGATGCTATCTGTGTGGAGTTTCCTGCCGGCTTGATCGATGAGATGGAGACGCCGAGTGATGCGAGTCTGAGGGAGTTACATGAAGAGACGGGTTATAAGGGCGTTTTGAAGTATGTTTCGCCGACGATTGTGAGCGATCCTGGGATGAGTACTGCCAATATGCAGCTTGCAACTGTAGAGGTGGTACTGAAGGAGGGAGATAAGGAACCGGAGCAGGCGCTAGATGATGGGGAGTTCATTGAGAGGGTAGTAGTCCCGCTAGAGGAGCTGTACGAGCGACTTTTAAAGTATTCCGAGGAGGGAAAGAGGGTAGATGCAAGGCTGTTTCATTGGGCCGCGGGCTTGCATTTTGCGAGGACCATTCTGTAGTAGAGTGAAGAGGTAGATCGAATCGTAAGCGATACTATCAGAGTCCTACTCTGGTCCACACTTAGGGCCGAGATTTGTTGGCAAAGAACAAAGACTGACAAATAAGGTAGGGAAATGCTTACTTAGCTATAGGAAGTGAATATTAGATGACGAGGACGTAGACTCTATCTCTGCGGTCGGGGCTTTCAGAAGTCGTATAGACTTCAGGTATTCTTACCAGGTAAATAACTTCATCGTTGAGGAGTTGTCTTGTTAAACAAGATTGCGAAGGGTATTGACTTCGTCTAAATGACTGGAATTATGAAAAGCTAGTTATCATTTGCCTTGATCCCAGCCCTAGAAACCTCCATATAGCCTTTGGACGTGAAAATTCGTTAACCCCTTTCGGGTACTATCCGAATGATGATCCTCCAAAATTCAATGGCAATAAATGATTCTCTGGAAAATTTACCGACTTCATAGCAAAATCCAAGCCCGCCTCTCTACCTACAGTACCAAATATCTCGTCTCGTCAATGTTGGGCGCATTCAGCTGTCGGCGTCTTCTGAACAATGTCCCATAAAGTCTCCGGTTAATTCTTCGCTTTTGAGATCCAAGCGCTTCGAGCGGGCCTGGATATCGATGTCGAGGCAAATATTGAGTATAATCCTCACCAGAAACTAAATTCTAGATTCCTAGGGCCTGCAACCCAGAGTGGTATTGGATTAACGGGAGCGGACGCCGCATTTCGGCCCACTAAAACAACCTCCAGTATTTCAGGAGCCTGGAAGATGCCATTTACGTAACAGTTTAGTCAAGGAATGGCATCAAACAGAATTATCCTTTCTTAGCCTGGAACAGGAATTGGAGGATAGTCTTTGACATCATTTGATCCTGTACCCTTGCAGGGGCACCAGTTATGGGAGAAGTCGTGTATTGTGGACTGAGGGTCCGAGGAGCTATATGATTTATATAGTATTGATGTACGCCAAGCCCAAGGTTGATTGGGCAGCCCATCGTAGAGCCCCTTCGGCTTACAGATCCTGAGGTTCGTGGTTCCAGAAATCTTGCACGGTGCCGACTAGAATCCTCGATGCTTTTAAGATCTACTAAGGCAACTACATTCCCTGCCTATTGATCACAAAACCCTTGTTAGGGCTAAAATTAGTGCATACAAAACCATACAGATATTTTAAGGTCCATGTATTAGCCTAATCCATAGCCTAGGACAGTAGTATAAACTCTCTACCTTTTACACAAAACCAGCTAGCGAAAACAGGTCATTACAATCTCTTCACTCCTTGTAAAATCGCCTATAAACCTCGACCTCAAGACCTAGGCTATCTATTCCAAGGGAGCTATAAAGTTTGTCGCGTAGATTAGCGGACTTCTAGAACATTAGCTATTATTTTATATTATATTTAATTTTAATACTTCTTTATTATCTTTTTTACATGTATAAGTGTTATGCCTAGTCTTTCTATAGTTTTTATAGCGCTGTTAACTTAGCAAAGTTAGTTTAGCATAGTAACTACTATAAGTGTAACGATCCTCATGAATCGTTCCATCTCAAGTCGCCCGGAACCTCCGGAAGGCCCTCGTATCGGCCCCGACCTCGACCTGGCCCCGACCCCTGCTGTTACCCCTATTCCCTCATGTATTTAGTCGCACCTCGCCCCCGTAGCTAGCTCGGTAGTTTTCTGATATCCTACGTACAAGGCCTATAGGTGTCATTGGTATTCCCAGGTCTCTGAGTCCCCACGCACTCCCATATGCCTCTAAGTGGATTCATACCGCATTCGGACCCATTGTCTTGCCTGCGCCGTTACAATAAAAGGTGTAGTTAGAGGCATTTTTATATTTAGTCTATAGTTTTTTTTTATGTAGTAGTCTAGTATTATAATGCTAGCAATTAAGCATTTTGCATATTATAGCTAATCTTATTAAAGTGTCTATAAATTTATTACTTTTCTAAGCGCCTATTAGCTACTAGCTAGCCTAGTGTTTAGTTAGCTAGTGCTAGGTGCAGTATTTATTTATGTAGAGATACTAGGTAAAAGGACATTATTTAAAGTTAGTGCAGATAAGTATAAGCTGTACTTAAGCCTATCTAGAGTATTCCTTTGTTTAGATTATCTATAGGGGGTAATTCTTATATTTATAATAGTAGGTGTTGTGCCTTTTACTTTTACATAGAATATAATACCCTTAAATTTACTATTACTTTAGTTCTTTCCTTATTATTACTAGTGCTAGGGGTGGTGTGTCTAATTATTTCTTTAATAGAGCTAAAGTTTATAAAAGTGTTAGATGCTAGTTAAAGCTTTCTCTATTTATAAAAAAATTTTTAAAAAATTTTTATTACTTTTTTTTATTTAAAATGTTATAGTAGACTATAGCAATTTTTTTTATAACCTTATAAGTGTTATAGTTATTATTAAAAGTTACTTTATATAGTCCTATTTTATAGAGGTTATAGTTGTAGAATTCTCTACACTTTTAGTAGTTTTTTTAGTTAAAATGTTGTTTAAGTTCCTGTAGTAAGATTTCTAGTCTACTTTATTTAAAAAGGTACTATTTTTCTTCTTTTTTTATATTTTTAACATAGTTAGCTACTTACATTAGGTGCTGCTATTCTTCTAAAACTGCAGCTTATTTAATAGCTTTAAAAAGACTATCTTTATTCTAAACCTCTACCTTTTAATAGTCTATTAGATAATTAAAGGATTTATAGTTATCTCTACATCTCTAGTAGAGTTATTTATTAAGCCTGTTATGTATTTTTTTATATGTTAAGCCTTTATTAACATACATTGCTTTTATAGTTAACCTGCTATTTTTATTCTCTAGTTATTTAAAGTCTAAGGATTTTTAATAAAAGTAGCCTACTTTTTTATAGTTAAGGCATGCTTTTTTTTTAAGCTATTTTTTTTATTCTTTATTTAAAAGTAGCCTTACACTTTTAGAGGTATTGCTCTTTTTTTAGAGAAGCTATATATATGCTTAGTATAGCTAAGGTCTATAAGTTTACTATTAAACTATAACTAGAGTTTTCTTTTTCTTCTAAAACTAATTAAGTTTTAAAGTTATTTTACTTTTTTTTAACTATGTTATTTAGCATATTTTTTATTATAAGTAAGTGCTTTTTTAATGTAATCCTTAAAGCTTTTAAGCTTTTTTATATAAGTAAATTTATTTTTAATTATGTCTAAAAGCCTTTTATAAAATATTTATCTTATAGCTTTTTTATTAGTTTATCTACAAATAGCTAGCAGTTCTCTAAAGTAGGCTGTATATTATTAGATAAAGCTATTTTCTTATTAAAAGGCGTTTATTTTATTAACTACTTATTTTTCTTTATTAACTAGCCTATAAATTATAGTTAAAGCTGCTTTAAATAAGTTAAAGTTTTTAAAAACCTTTTATATTTTAGGTAGTAAAGGTTTACTATTTACCTTATAGCTTATCTAGTTATTAGTGTAAAGTTAGAACTAAATAGTAAGTAATTCTTCTAAGTATAAGCTTATTTATAAAATTATTTCTTTATTTATTTTAAAGGCACTTTTATTATATTACATATAGAGGTAGCATTTAGTAAAGAAAGGTTTTAAGTCTTTAGCAAAGCTATTAAATGCCTTAGAGAGGGCTAGGCGTAGGGTCTTCTTAGACTTAATACTAGTTTTTTTTTAAGTAATATTTCTAAAGTTAGCTACTTCTAGCTAAAGGGCTTATAGCTAATAGACATTTAAGGGCCTTTATTATGCTTATAGCTAAAAGTGTTATTTAAGCTATTTAAGCTTATTTTAAAGATAAAGTATCTACTAATTTTATGCTTTTTCTATTGCTGTAGGGGTCTAGCTAGTGCTAGCAGCTAAAGCGCCTATTATGCTAATGTCTAAGGTAGTAGTAGCTATACTTTATAAGTAGTAGTAATTACTATTATAATTTTTACTCTAGTAAAATAGTATTTTTAGAAGTATAACAGCCTATAAGGTGTTAGTAGTAGAAGGGGTAGAACTTAGCTAAATTAGGTGTATAGTCTGTTAAGTAGAGTGTAGAGTTAGAGAAATAAAAAAGGCAGGTTATAGTTTAGCCTAGCAGCTGTATAGGAAGCTAGCAAACTAATCTGTAAAGATAAGAAAAAAGGTATATATAGTGTAAGATATATAAAGCAGTAATGTTTTCTTTATAAAAGTTTTAATGCTTTTTAGTCTATTAAGTAAGTAAAGACTAAATATTAATTACAACCTTTTAGCTATAGTTGTAATTAAGACTATATACATAGGGTGTACATGCTTTGCATGCTTGCATGCTTGCATGCTACCTAGCCTGCATAGCTTGTAAGCCTGCAAGCCTGCAACGTTTATTAGATAATGCACTCTGCTAGGCTTTTGTCTAAAAGCTAGAGCTATTCCTTATCTGTCCTGTCACGTGATTTGTTTAGCGTGGAGTTAAGCGTTTTCCATCCAACGTCGTTCAGGCTGTGTGGGACAGCTAATTAGGTTATTACAGTCAGTCTGTTAGCTGTAACAGACATGTCTAAAGAGAGATAACACTATTCTCTAAAATTTCTTAAAGCCTTTTAAAATTATTTATTATGTTACTAATTTTTACTATATTTTTATTATTATTACTACTATTAGTGTTATAAATAGGATAGGGACAGCAGTTACATAAGGGTAGAGGGACTTATAGTAATAAAAGAAGGCTTAGAGATCTAAGCTTTTATGCAACATGTTGTATAAGCTCTATTAGCTCTATATAGTATTCGAGACTACATTAGTAGTAGTTAAAAAGAGGGGGTAGCTAATATGCTCTTAATCTGCTTCTTACATGTTACCTCTAGCTTTCTATCTAGTTGCAGTATATAGTACAACTGTCCGTACGCAGCAGCAGCGTCGCGGCCTGGATACGAGCGATCGCGCACGAGCAGGATCACGTACCTATGTCACATAATGCTTGTGCGCGAACCTCTGTGCGCGAACATCTAGATATCCCTCTTTTCCTCTATACAGAGGAAAGACAAGAGCAATAAAACTAGAAATATATTACTCTTACCTTACCTACTTTATACACTATGCACACTGTACACTACTTTTACTCTTGCTACTTAAGTGCTTATACTATAAGCAGCTAGCTGTTAAAGCCTATTTAACACTAATTAGTAGTTAATTTAATTAACTATAAATTAGTAAAAGTAATAATAAAGTACTTATGCTTTATAAGGTACTTTATTTTATTACTTATTCTTTAAGAAGAGTAACAGCAGAGTACTTACACCTTATAAAGTACTTTGTTTAGTTACTTATCTCTTAGAATAGTAAATTAATCTTTTACATTATACAGCAAGCTCTGCTACTGTACAAAGTAAAAAGAAGATAGTGTAAAACGCACACTAAAACTATTAAAGCTGTATAACCTAGCAGCTAGACAATAACAGCAGTACCTGTATAATCTACTGCATAAGTAATTAACTCTACGCCTTATAAGGCACTTTGTTTTATTACCTATTTCTTAAGAAAAGTAATAATAAAGCACTTACACTTTATAAGGTACTTTGTTTAGTTACTTATTTCTTAGAATAGCAGATTAATCTTTTACATTATACAGTAAGCCCTACTACTATACAAAGTAAGAAGAAGATAGTGTAAGGCGCATACTAAAGCTATTAAAGCTGTACAACCTAGCAGCTAGACAACAGCAGTACCTGTGTAATCTACTAGAAAAGTAATTAACTATACTATTATAATAAAATCCTATTAGTAACTAATAACTTTATATAATAATAAAAAAAATAAGAAATAATTCTTATTATATAAATAACTTATAAAGGACACAGAGATATTAGAGGTAACACTACAAAACAAGACTAGCTTAGAGTACTAGAATAATAAAATTAATATGTTAAAAGCTCTAATAAGCCTATAGACTTAATTATACATAAGTTATATAATTACTAATCTACATATAATAACTTAAAAAGGCGCTACTTTTTTAAGTATATATATAAAGGATTTTAAAAGATAGACACTATAAGACTTTTTAGCACTTAGCTGCATGTTTAAAAAAGAGCTTATATAAGTGCTAGAGGACAAAGGAATTACACTATAGCTAAGTACTAAAGGTACTTAAGCTTAGAAGCTATATAATATAGCATAAAAAAAGGCAATTGCACTAAAAAGGCTTTATACATAACTTTTATT